ATCATGACCAAACATCTTCCTGGTATTGATTCGACGCCCTCATTGCCTTGACAATTTCCTCTCCCTTTGTCTCTGGTACATTGCGGTATTTGGAGATGATCTTGCCGAGTAGGACATTTACTTCACGGGCCATGTGTGCGGCATCACCGCAGACGTAGAAGTAGGCCTTTTGCTCGAGCAGCCTGTTCACCTCTTCGCCCGCCTCCTCAAGCTTGTGCTGAACGTAGACCTTGTTAGGGCCGTCTCGCGAAAAGGCAGTATGCATTTCGAAGTTGTCGCCCATGATATCCTTATATTGCTGCATTCATGTTAGTAAAAGTTGGAAGTTTCTAGTTGTGACGATTACGTACCTCCCACTCCTTGGCGTACATGAAGTCCTCTGATTGTTTTCTGCATCCGAAGAAAAGAATGGTCTTGCCCACAGTTTGTCCGGCCTTTGTTTGCGCGGCTCGCTCCTGGACGAAAGCACGGAAAGGTGCGACACCAGTACCAGGACCAACCATGATGATAGGCTTTGATGGATCTGAGGGGAGCTTGAAGTTTGAGTGGCGGACATGTACCGGGACGTGGATACCATCGTACTTGTTGCGCGGTCCCGTGATAGCGTAGTCTAGGCCATGCGGATCCAGGTTGGGGTCGCCATGTTGCTTTTGCTTCAGCGCCAGAAGATAGTTGGTAGTGACTCCCTTGAGGGCATATGGTGCACCGGGCTTCTCGATGGATTCGACAACAGCAGTAATAGAGATCTTGTCTTTCTGGACCAGCGAAGATGAAGAGATGGAGTAGTAGCGGGGTTGAATCTTGACCATGGTCTCAAACAAGAAGCTGAAGGGAATCTTGTCCCACGTTACGCCCTTGCCAACAATCTCGAGGAGCTGTCCCAGGTTCAGGTTGCGATCGGTGACTTGCTCCTTGAAGTAGTCCTTGTCGCTACCAAGTTTCACCAATTCAGCCTTGATATCATCGTTGGGTGCGAACTGAGCCATTACAGAAACGAGTTGACGGGATACAGCAGCGTTGATTTCAATGTGGAAACGGACGGCGGCATCGTAGGTTGTCGGCGAAGGGAAGGGGACCTTGGCAGTGGGGTCAAGACCTCTGACAGCGATGACGGTGTGACGCTTGTCCTCCTTTCCGAGGACCTTGAACAGCCGATCGACTTCCTTGCCAGCGTTGTTGGGCCAGATGGCGATGTGATCACCGGTAGTGTAGGACAGGTTGGAGCCAGCGATGCTAATCTCCATGTGCAGGCAGTTTCGGTTGGGGGCATTGAAAAGCTCGGCGGATTCGACGATGGGGGCGATAAAGGGGTTGTTGGCGTTGAAAGGACCCTTTTGGTTGCCCTCGAGGTGGTTCTTGTTGGGCTCGCCCAGGTAGACAGTATCATCTTCGGCAGAAAGTTCTGGCTTCTCCCTGACGTCGAAGACGGGCTCGTATGAAGCCTCGCGCTCTTCCAAGCCCATCTTTTCAGCAACAGCAGCCCACATGGGCTCCTTCCAGGCGAGAAAGTCCTCTTCCATTGTACCAGCACCATCGTCGCCCTCGCCAGCAGCGCCCAGTCTGGTAGCACCAAGCCTTGTCAAGTATTTGTCGACGTTGCGAACCATGGAGTTGTAGTGTTCATATGTGTTGTTTCCAAGACCGAAAGCGACGTAGTTGAGCTTTGAGAGGGGCTTATCGTCGATGCTGCCACCTTCGGAGAAGGAGACATCTTCGGAACCAAGGAACTCGTAGAATTCGACAGCGTTATCGGTGGGCTCGCCCTCGCCGTACGTGGCCAGGACGAAGACAGCGAGCTTATCTTCGGGGAAGGTGTCGAGGTTGTCAAAGTCGTATTCCTCCAAGTCGGCGACCATGGTCTTGAGGCCGAAGCGGGAAGACCCCTCCTTGGATATGCGCGAGGCATAGTCTTCGGCAGTACCAGTCTGGCTACCGTAGAAGACGACGCAGTTCTTGTCCGTCTCCTCCATCTTCTCTATTATGTTGCGTGACTTGCCAGCCTTTGCGGCGCCATTGGCCACACTCAGCGAACTGCCATAGGGGTCTGCGGTGACGCCCCAGTAGGTGCCCTTTGTGAAGTAGGCAACCGTGCCGACCAAGAGTGCGGCCAAGACGAGAATGTCCAGCGTGTCGAGTTGCGCCATGGTGTTGAAGGGGTGAGAGGAGAAGAATCGGAGCAAAACGGAGGGGCAACGAACGTTTTGGACACGGTATTTAGTCGCCGTCCGGAAAGAGACAAGCGAGATGGGGATATTTGGACGCAGATATGCGGCATCAACGGAGGTGTGTCGGGGGTGTGAGTGCCCCGTGCGTCTCTAAGCCGCGCTGTCGACTATGCCTAATCCTTGGACGGACGACCTCGGGAGCCGTAGGACCAAGATGCAAATGAGAGTTTCTTCTCGACGTGTCACACATGTCCTACACCGCCGCATGCACCGCTGCTACTAGGTAGCCAAACAAAGTGGTGCCGTCACTGACTGGGATGCTGGACCCTTGGTTCAGCCGACGGGTTCCGCTATCATTCCGGCTGCGAGCTGGTCGAAACACAAGACGCCCGAGGTTCGCTACGCTTCTATGATGATACGATTACACCCCTACGGCCAGGCCGACCGGCACTTTTGCGGGGCAGAGAATGTTCAATGCTACTGTGGCGGAAAAGTCAAGTCGGAACATGGGCGACCGAGTGACATGGTTGCAGTTGCGCGATACGTGCCATACGATCGGAAAATCGAGGCGACGGCTGTCTACGCAGTCAGCACGGCAAGACATAATGTTGGAGCCGACATTGCGAACAAATCGGCATGCCCAAATCAACGTCTTGAAGTCGATACTGGGTGTTGTACATGCGTATAGAGGGACTCTGGCCAGAATCATTCCGACGTTGAATATAGTGTACCTATATACTGTATGGACATGCAACATTTGAAGGAAGCGCAATCCCGGAACTCCTCCCGTCACATGTCAAGGCGATAAGCGACATCTGTCGGGAATCTTCCGACCGCCAAGATGCGCCCCAGCGAGCCTTGAACGAGTTAGCCCCGCCTATGTCTATGTATAAACGTATATGTACTGGTGTATATACCAGTAGACGGCGAGTTCAGAGGTGCTCTATACTGTACATCACGTGTTCATGCAAGGTCCCATCATACATGCAAACATTAGGTCAGCCTTGAGTTTGTGAGACTCGCATGACGCAGGTAATATTGCCATCTGGTGTGAATGCCACCACGGAATCCCGTCTTGGAAGCTTACTTTGTCCGATGGTCAATTGCTACGTGTTCAGTCGGTATGTAATGTCGGGCACAGTAGGCGGACGACCACGTGGAAATGCATCGGATGCTTCAAGTCCGACAGAGGCTGGAGGCGTGATGACGCCTCGCGCCAACATTGGCCCGATGCGGCTAGGTTGGTCAGGAACCAGAGCAGGGGTCTACACGGCCATTTCACCCACCTCCAAAGACGATCCATGACCGCCCTCGAGACCCTTTCACCGGCCCTACTTGCGTCTTGAGCCACTCTGGACTATAGGGCCACCGCAATCTTTCCGGGACGCGGAAGATGCTGCACGTGAAGCCAGCGGCATGTGTAAGTATACATCCTCTTCCCTGGTCAAAGTACAATAGTCGCCTCCAGACCGTGCGAGGTACCGTGAAACGCACTCCGCACGCGGCCTGGGTCCTGACTGTATCGGCCTCTACCGTGGGCTATTGCGCCCAATATGGACGTCGATGCCTCGGTGTGCTGGAACAATCGTGTGCTGACCCCTGTGTGTGCCCAATGTAGCTGCTTTCCCTCTCCTGCAAGCTCGACCAGCTGCCGGACATGTGCCACACCATATAGACAAGTCGTCGCCCACATCGCGTGAACCCAGCCAGACCCGTGGCCGCGCCCTGACTGCCTCGTCTCGGTCCATTGCCTCGCGCTCTCAGACGCCGGCCGCAAAGGGTGCCAGTAGTAATTCGAGCCCCGACCGCACCTTCCACTCGCTTGAGCGCAAGCCGTCGGGCTCGTACGCCCACAATCGCAACACGTCCATCGTCCACGGCATCCAGCACTCGCGGAACACCAGCTACGTAAATTCCCCCGCCACGAGTCCGCTGAGTCCACACATTATTGCTGCCGCGGCAGGTGCCACCATCGATGGAGCCGTCATGTCGCAGGAATCTATAGCGGATGCCTTTGCCGCCAACGGCATGCAGCCGGGCGCGGGCGCGGGCAGTGTCACTGGCAACGTCTACGGCCTGGCAGGAGCCCAGGCTGCAGCGAGCGATGGCAGCATCACCCAGCGCCGACCGGAGCGAGCACCCAGCTCGCGCTCTTCGCGCAAAGGCCACAACCACCACCGCTCCCAGTCGAGGCACCCGCCGCACCCCCACGAGCTCAAGACGGTCGGCGAATATGCCCTGCACCACCTGTTCAACGCCTTTATCAGCCAGGCAGAGCACAAGATCAACCAGTGCATGACCGAGCGCGGCCAGCCTGAAGTGAGGGTTGAGGCGGTTTGCGGGCCCGGAGTAGACCCCACCTTCGACCAGCTCATAGCTGCCCTGGGCCATATAGCGCGCCACAAGCCAAAGCCGCTCATAGACACCATCATGCTATGGCGCAAGGCCAAGAGCGAGGAGGCCTCCAAACAGCGCACCCAGCTGCTCAACGCGAGGCAGGCCAGTCCGATAGCCCATCCTCATCCCTCACTGTCTCGTCGAAACACCGAGTCGACGCAGCAGCCAGACAGCCAATCTGCAAATTCCATGGCACCTGGCCCTGACTACATCATCGCTCTGCAGCAGACCGTAACTCAGGCCGAACAGCGCTCTACTGTCTCGACCTATCTCCTGTGTCGCGTGCTAATTGAGATTATGACCCAGACCGATCTCAAAAACCTCACTTTGGAAATGGCCGAGCGTCTTCTTGGCCTGTTCTATGGCCAGCTCAGCACTGTTGACCCTGACCTGGTGGACATTTCGCCCCTCAATCTCGCCAACTGGACCATCTACAGCCAGCTGCTCGGTGTACTGAGTGGCCTCATCTTCAAAGAGGTGCAGGAAAGATTCGTGGCCGACTTGAAGGTTGTTGATGGCCACCTGTCTATCAAGAATCAGTATAATCGAGACCATGAGGCCAAAGGAGCCCTACTGATTCGCGCTCTGAGACACCTGAAAGTGGATTCCTATCCCGAAGAGAGCTGGGACCAGACCTGCGATTTCATGCTTTCCATGGCGAAACTCTTCACCAGTGCCCATGGCCAGCCAGTCAAGTATGCTTACTGTCAAGTCCTCAGGGAGCTGTTGCTCCGCATCGCCTCAAAGGCCACGGTGGAGCTTGACGCACCCAAGTGGAAGACTGTAATCGAGATGATGAAGCAACGCGCGGCCATACTCATCGGAAAGCCCAAGCACTGGCAGGAAGCCTTTCCACTGATGGCAGCAATCTTGTGTGCTTCTCCAACCGACGTATTCCTCTCACAGTGGCTCGCATTAGTGCTTTCCACGCAGCCAAGGCTCAAGGAACGCGCTACTAGGGCCATTGCTCTCCGCGGTATCTGCCGACTTGTATGGACATACATATACAGGCGCGGTACCGAGGCTCCCAACATAGCCGTGCGCCGACTAGATGAAATTATACGCATGGTATTCCTACCAGGAAGACGCTCGTATCTTTCAACCGAATCGGCCATTGCGGAACCGCTGATACAACTCACGCGCATCATTGGCTACAAGTATCAGGACCTTTGCTTCAAAACCATAATTTTTCCTCTACTCAATTCGGAAATGTTTACTTCCGGACGAGAGTTGCGCGTTGAGAATCTGGAACCGGACCGCATGGTTATAGGTATTCGCTCATTTCTCGCCATCATGGCAGATCTTGAGAATACCGAACAACCTCCATTTCCGCTTACCTTTGAATACGATCCGAATGCCGTCTTCAGTGAGCTACCTGCTCTTCCATCAAGTCCGCGACCTATGCATCCTTTGCCTATAAAGTCCACCCTCCTCAAGGAAGAGCGTCTCTCCCGCCCTGTCAACTTTACTGGCTTTGCAGAGGTGGCAAAAGAGTACTACAACCGCTTCTGCAAAATCCTTGGCGAGATCACCATCATATGCGACAACGCTTTTGGCGGCCAAGCCGTGCTGGACGAGAAATTCTCTTTGCAGACACCCAAGACGCCCATGGCTGATGCCTTCAGCTTCGGTCGTCGCGAAGATTACCTGACAACGACCGATCCCCGTCAAGGGTTTTACGACTTACTGCATGTTGCCGTCCAGGCGCTGCCTCGGTGCCTGTCCCCACACATACCCATAAATGCACTTGTGAACTTGTTGTGCACTGGAACAGCACACGTCCAGAGCAATATTGCCATGTCCTCAGCTCAATCGCTCAAGTCCATAGCACGTCAGTCATACGCGCAAACCGTTACGATTGGATTTGCACGCTTCATCTTTAATTTCGATGATCGTTATGCTACCATGTCGGACGGCGGCATGCTTGGGGCTGGACATATTGAAAACACATTGAAGCTCTATGTTGAACTACTGCAAATATGGATCGAGGAGATCAAGCGGAAAACTCGCAAAGCAGCGCTAGACACTCCTGATGACGGTTCTGGCAACAGGGCTGCTCAGCTTGATCTTTCTTCCGTATGGGCTCACGTTGATGAGGTCGAGTCTCACGGCCTGTTTTTCCTGTGCTCGCCTTCACGTCGTGTTCGTTCCTACGCTGTCACCGTGCTCCGCCTTGTTACCGAATTCGATACGGCTTTGGGTGGGTCCAGCACACGGATCATCCGCGTAATGGAGGGTAGTCCGCAGAGAGTGCTTGACATTAGCGATGAAAAGCTGTCCCTAGCTGAGCGGAGTCGTCTGCAACGTGGTATGCGCAAAAGCAACGTACACAGCACACTGGTGGAATTGTGTGGCAGCGATGTCCCTTACGACGCACACTATGGTTCAAGATCTTCCCGAACCTGATACGCATCAGCTTCGAAGTCTGTCCCTTTGCTTCGACACTCACTCGGGATATCGTTTGTGCAAGACTGTCTCAGATGTACAGGACGCTTTCCTCCCTCTCCGAAGGCCAACGTTCAACGCCTTACTCGCCGTATGAGCCTAGCGGGAGCAAGCCCAGCGGTCGGTTGGCTTCTACCGCTCCGGAAGTCATCATCGAACAATGGAAGCTCTATCTCATCTTTGCTTTTACGACATTGACGAGCTTGGGCCCAACGGCTGCGTCGGCCACACAAGGACAACATTCGCGGAAGAGCTCCAAGTCGTCACAAACTAGTACCAACAAACTGCATACCGCTACCGAGTTATTTGCCAAGGTTCTCCCGTTCTTGTCAGTGGACAATGTCGCCATACGAGACGCCGCAGTCATCGGGCTCGGCTCCGTCAATCTGAATCTTTACCGTACGCTACTTGAGTCGCTTCAAGGCATCGTGGCTGCTTGTGCCGAAGAAGCCAAGACTCGAATGGGCAACCACAACAGAACCATCAGTAGCCCACGCCCCATGAACTTCCGGACCGATCACCTCCGAACGGAGATCACACATGTATACAAGTTGACATCACAACAATTTCTTAAACTTCCAGAGGCCCACAATGACGAGTGGATAATCAATAATCTAATGAACTACACCAAGGACCTGAGAATTTTTCTCAGCGATACCGAAGTTCAGCTTGAGGTACGATATCTGAAGCTGCGCACGCACTACTGTGGCTTGGTAGAAGTATTATTTGAGGGCATCAACAAGACCAGCGACCCCCTACGCTGGATGCCATTTCAAGCTCGCAAAGCAGCTTTTACGTTGATGGAAGAGTGGTGCGGATACTCCGCGAACCAAGCTCAGATCCGCCAGCGAGAAGAACACATGCGACGTTCTATACTTGACCGGGCGATAGAAGCGGACAACAAAGGCAATGTGACTGCCGCTCTCGAAATCGAGAAGCGGGATCTCCGGACTGCAGCTCTGAGCGCCATGGCTGCATTATGTGGTGGGCCAGTCAGCATCACGACGGACAGCAAAGTGTTACTCCAGTTCGATGTCAGTCGTATGCTTTCGTGGATTCAGAGCATCTTCGAAACCCCGAGCGACCGAACGCACGCTATCGGTCGTCGGGCACTGTCCAACCTCATCCTGCACAACCGCGAGCACCCATATCTGCTGGACAAGGCAATCGAAATGTGCTATCTTGCTGTAAACAGCAAAGCGCTCGACAGCTACTTTGAAGTTGTCGCCCAAGTTCTTACCCAGCACGAGGACTACACATTACCATTTTGGAAGGTGCTAAGTGCAGGTCTCTATACACTGGGACATGAGAATAGTGAGATACGTATGAAGTCTGCCCGGTTGCTTCGCACACTTGAAGCCCGTGAAGGAAAGAACTCGAAGTTGCAAGACCTGGATATCAGCATCTCGGACAAAACAGTCGCTGTTTACAAGCTTGCTCAATTCGAGACCTCCCGCAGGCTCGCCAAACAACATTCCGAACTTGCTTTTTTGGTATTTTCGCAATTCTCATTCTACTTCAAAGAGCTCCAGCCTGATCACAAGCGTAACATGGTCGCTGCTATGCTTCCATGGGTGCAATCAGTCGAATTGCAAGTAAATCCGGATGGAGGACCAACAGGCAACTCATACATGCTCCTCGTCAACCTTTTCGAGATCACCTACACTTCTGGAAATGCACTACACAACGAGATTCAAGCACTCTGGCAAGCATTAGCAACAGGGCCGTACGGGGGAAACGTGCAGCTCATTCTGAACTTCATCATCAGCCTCTGTTTGGACAAGCGAGAGCAGAACTATGTCGACTACTCGAAGCAAATCGTAGTTCATTTATCCAGTACTCCCGCAGGCTTAAAGGTGATTGAATTTTTGCTCCTACAGATCAACCCACGGTCTATGGTGAGCGAGAAGCGCGAACCCATGCCACCACCGCCGGATGCGGCTAACCTCCCCTACCTGGTCGATCTCACAACAGTGTTGCCGAGTAGCAACAAGCAGTCCGGCTTTGCCTTGGGACAGGTCTGTCTCATCATGCTGGTAGACCTCATGGTTTCGCCAGTTGAACTTGCCAAAGAGCACATTCCGTTGCTTCTGCAAGTGGTTCTCGTGCTCTGGGACCACTACACTGCAGTTGTTCAAGACCAAGCTCGCGAGATGCTTGTACATCTCATTCACGAATTAGTCATCTCTAAGATCGAGGATGATACTCCAGGCATCGACAAAAGGTCTATCGAAGACTTTGTTGAAGGCATCCGTCAGCGTGACAGCAAGGTGGTATGGAGTTATGACGATAAAAACGGAAAAGACACCGCAGACTCAACAACAAAGGTGCCTGAGCCCATGGAATACGTTGCTGCAGAGGTGATGAAATTCTTTTCGTTCGCTTATCCGGGACTAAGAGAAGCCTGGGGAAGAGTGGCTCTTCATTGGGCTACATCTTGCCCAGTCCGACACATCGCATGTCGATCATTCCAGCTTTTCCGTTGCATACTCAGCTCGCTCGACCAGCAGATGCTCTCCGACATGCTTGCAAGACTTTCAAACACTATTTCCGATGAGGAGAGTGACATACAGACCTTTTCCATGGAGATATTGACAACTTTACGAACCATCATCGAAGCCTTGGCACCCGAAGATCTCATCCAGTATCCACAACTGTTCTGGACCACCTGCGCATGTTTGGACACGATACACGAAGGCGAGTTCATGGAAAGTCTGCTCATGCTAGACAAGTTTCTTGACAAGCTCGACTTGGGCGATGAGGACGTGCTCACCACCTTGGAAGAGAGTTGCCCGGATAAATGGGAAGGCAAGTTTGAAGGCCTCGCCCAATTAACGTACAAGGGCATACGCTCTAGTATATGTCTCGATCGTTCTTTACGAATCCTGGAGAGGCTAGTAGTCTTGCCCTCCAGTCGCATCGTGGGCGATGACAGCCGACTGATGTATACTATTCTCGCAAACCTACCGAGGTTCCTCCGTTCCTTCGACCCGACAGTGAAAGACCCAAGCATTAGAGCGACAGCCGAAGTGCTTGCTCAGGTGGCCGAGCAGTACTACCAGTGCACGCCACTTGCCGAAGCCCTGACCGCAATCGCTATGAAGCGATATCGACACGAGAAGGACTTCCTCGCGCAGATCATGTCGACGATACGTACGGCATTCTCCCCAGAAAACGAGTTTGGTAGCCTGGTTTTCCTTCTTGGGCTACTGATGAACAAGATCGATTGGATGAAGATCAACACCATGGAAGTTCTGTGTGTTCTCTTACCGGAGATTGATATGCGTCGACCAGACATGGCCGCCAAAGGGTCTGATCTCTTTTCGCCACTTCTGCGATTACTGCAAACCGCCTACTGCCCCCAAGCTCTGAGGGTCCTGGATTACGTCATCAATCTCAATATGACGAGCACATTAACGCCGTTTGACAAACAACACATTCGCATGAGCATGGCCGGCTCACACTCTACCAGAGGGTACAAGAAACAGTTTGAAAAGACACAGTCGCTTTATGGCATTCCTGAGGACAGTGGCTGGTCGATCCCGATACCTGCTTTGCATTCGCAGTTGACGAGAGCAAATGTCCACGCCGTCTTCTACACCTGCGGCCATTATGGTGACTTACATGCATCCGAGAACGAAACGCCAAAGGTGGAGTTCCGCCAGGAGGAGTTTCCCTTCAGCCCACTATCCGACTACCACCGAACAGCAACCATGACATCTGAAGACACTCGAGGGGATAGTCACATTGGCGAACTCGTCATGAAACTGGATAGCCTTGATGACTTCTTCGAGGATGATGATGATGCCGAGACGTTGACGGACTTGCCCAACTTCTCTTCATCGGGACGATACATGAATTCACCCTACTCACACGACATGCGCGAAAACCTTTACGATCAACAAACTGCGCCAATTCTAAACAAGTCACTCACACGAAACGCAAGCGTGACATCTTTTCAGTCGGGCTTCATATCTGACGTGAAGCTCTCGCCCGCCAGAGACCCTGGCGTCATGACACCCGGGGCGTTCAGTTCTTTTGCCGGCCCCTCTTCCACTTCCGGCCTGTCCACCACAAGCAACTCGTCCCGCCCAGGCCTCCACGCCCGCTCTGCAACATCACCGTCTGCCCCCAACCAACAGCAGCGCATCTCCCCGTCTCTTACATCGACCGCCTTGGAAGAGCAAGGTGAAACCTTTTCCGACGACGAGTACGCTACCGGCCGCTCGAACAGCACAGACAAGAGCGGGACCTTTAATCTAGAAAACATCATCAAGCCCGTCGCTCACGATACGAGGAGCCGGTTCCGAAGTGGCATGAGGAGATTGACGGGTGGAGGCGGCGACAACAAGGAAGGTGCAAAGACGAGAGATGCAATCAAGTTGGCGTTGCAGAAGAGCCCACAGGTACCAAAAGTACCGGATATTTATCTCGTAAACCCCAAGAGTGCGGATCTATAAGGCGTATATACGGCGGGATGATATTACGAAGCGATTTTGAATAACAGGAAAATGTACGGCAGTGAGGGATAGCGGCAAACTATGTAGGAGGGATATGTGATCAGGGAAGAAGGAAAAAAAAGGAGGGACGGCGGGGAGTAGCATAGCGGGCGTTTTTTTTTTCCATGTCTGATTTACTTGAGGGTTTACCTGTTGTTGTGGTTTGGCAAGATACCAGAAAAACGATCCTTTCTTTGTTGTTATTGTATTGTTTGCGAGATACCATTTTTGGGTGGGTTCTGAAGGTGTTTTTCAACACGATACCTTGGTCTTTTTCACTGATGTTGGGTATAAAATGGAGAGAGAATTCATGCACTTGAGCGACGCAATAAATAACACATGCATATGGAAACAACTTGATCATTCGCTTGAAGTCCGCATCCATGGCAGGAAACACGAATGTCGGATACCCAGCCTTAACTACCACAGTCTTCCCAACCCAGCACACATCTTCAGCTACATGTTTAGCGCATAGTACTAGGACTAGCTAGTTTCTCTTTCTCTCAAATCCGGTACGCATACGCACGTTAAACACGCCGCATCTGCCTCATCTAGCAAGTTGAGCCATTTCAGTTCAGCCCTAAGTTCTAGATTCCAGATTCCGGTAACCTTGTGGCTGGCTGGGCTGGCTGGGCTAGTTAGAGGGTGGCTGACACCATCAAACATTCGCGCCCAACATCGGCTAGCTAGACATACAAAACCGGTGTCGCCTACTTTAGTTTTTGCGACTAGAAATCCCGGGGATATGGATGGCGCACCGCCAGATCCCGCAGACGGATCTATGATTAACTAGGGGATCTGGGTTGTGGAGGTGTTTTTTTTAGCGCGCGCAACGCCGCATTAACTTACCGCACCGCAGCACCACACCTGAGCTGAAGCTGAAAAAGCTAGTGCAACATCAGTACCAAGATAATGCGTGTAAGGCTGAGAAAGCTGAGGAATAGCCGCGTACGTTTATACTTCTTACCTTTGCATCGCTGAGGTGCGCGTTTACGCCACATCTTGGTTTTAGTTAATTGCGTTGGCGGTTGGCGGTGAAGAGCACGTACGATAGACGGGGATGTGTATCAACGTTACACAAGACAAGGTCATACACACAGACGGTTACGACTGGCTGTGTGAGGTTGTTGGATGAGGGGATGCGGGCGAAGACAGCTACCCATCACACGTAGATTACCACCCGTTATTTTGTGTCACTACCTCAATCCGATTTGGAGGTTTTGTGAACGAATTAGGATAGGCGTGGCTTTTCGCGTGTTTGGAAACAAACTTTTTGGGAATCAATGTTTATTTGTTTAATCAACCTGTTTCGAGTTGTCGCTCGCGTTGTGGAAGATGTGTTTGTTGAGGTAGTCAAGGCTGGGCGAAAGACATGTGTCAGCGGATGGGGGTGCTGAAACGCACCACTGCTACTGCGACAGTGACAGTTAGTGACATTTGCGACTTACGTCTGCGACTACGTCTATCGCCCAGGCCGAACTTAGCCTCAATCTTCGTAAGTGTTCTGGAAAGTTTCTGTGCTGGGGGGGTAAGCTTCTGTGCAGTGTTGGTGCGTTGCTGGCGCGGGTGGTAGTGGTAGTGGTAGTGCTGGCGGTGGTGGCTGCTGCTGCTGTTGTTACATGTCACTTGTGCAATTTCCCTGGCTAGTTGCTGGCTAGGTCAGGTACACATGATATAAACCTCATCGGAGAATACTTTTGTTCCAGAAGAAAAAACGTTCCTTTTCTTTTCCGCTACTACCACCGGTTTCCAGACACGCACACACCAAGCTTACGAATATTTTACCGCAACAACCTGCTTTTGGCGGCAACATGAACAACGATCATCAGGGTGCGAGGGTCTACCTCATTCATACGGCACAACATCCACGTCCTTTTCTCACTACGGTACCTTTTGTGGCCCGCGACTTTGCGGCTTGGGGGTATCGTGTTGATCACCATGCTGCGGATTCGGCGTATATTGTGGAAGTGAGGGCGAGGGAGAAGATGCAGCATATGCGGCGGAAAGCGCGGAGTGCGAGTCGGCGGACCAAACTCATGGAGATATGGGCGCATGAAGTGCTGGAGAGGAAAAGAGGAGAGAGAGGCAATGTCAGCATGACAACACCAGCAGAAGAGGTAGATACCGGGTTTGGCGCGATAGAAGCCCGGGTGAAGAAAGCGGGTGATGTAGTCCAGGACTTCATCAATGGCGTTGCGGCTCTTGGTAGTGAGTGCGATTGCTCCATCCCCATGTCCCTGGATGACATCTTGCTGAGACCAGGCGCTGATTTCCGCAAAGACGGTAAAAACGTCTCAATGCGACATTCTCAACAGACCATAGCGACGAAGTATACTCGTCTTCTATACGCTGTCCGGTACAACCCCAACACACCGCTACCAGCGTGGTCGAACCCCGACATCGTATACGCAGATCAAGTCATCCTAGAGTTCTCGCATCACGAAGCGATCCAAAAAGAACATCTTGTACACGCGGTGAGCAGCGCGATTGGCAAAAACGAGGGACGCATGGGGAGGGTGGAAAAGTGTACGCGGACGGGTGTGAAGCGGGTGTTATTATGGGTAGATGTTGGGGATGTCTTGATGGGAGCAGCAGGATTTGTTGAAGAGGGGGAAGTGGATCCGGTGCCGAAGTACGAGAGGGGAGAAGGGCCGCCGGTGTACGTGAAGGGGTGATTGAAAGAGATCGTGGGTGAGACCAGACGACGATCTCCAATCTAGAATAGGCCCCTGATGGAGAGGCGTCTATACTTAGTCTCCAGTGCGTGTCGTATTACTTGCACATCGCTCGTGTTCATTCTCACAACGCTCGTGCTGGCGCTCGATAGCTAATGATGTTATTAGGCACCGAGTTCGAAGGGGAATCGGGGTAATATAACTCGTTTGCGCGCGGTTTCACATGCCAATAAAGCGTGGCTAGACGTGGCTGAGCTCTGGCCAAATAAGACAGGCTGACGGATTGGACTTGGCGCCAAGGTGGCATGTCATTCTAGTGTGACGGCGTAGCGTCAGGGTGTCCAATCAAGTTGCCCCAGACCCCAGTTTGCCAATTACGGGGTAAGCCGGTCGTGAATGATGGCTCCGTCACGGAGAAAGTGAATGGGGGTTCCTTTTCCAACTCTTCTACTCTTCCACACAGCGCTTCTTTGCTGACTCCCACGCTCTCTACCACCTCTTCTTTCTCCCTTTCCCCAGCATTTCTGTTTTCCAAATACTGTCACTCTCTCAACCCTCTCTAACAATCATGCGTTTCTCTACTGCACTTGCCTTCGCGGCAGCTGCTATCGGCAGCGCGCTTGCGCAAGACCCCATCATGGGCTTCAACAGCGGCTCCACCGATGACAAGGGCAATGCGAAGACCCAGGACGACTTCGAGAAGGAGTTCCGCACGGCGAAGGGCCTCCAGGGCGCGCCGGGCAACTTCACCACCATCCGCCTTTACACCAACATTCAGCAGGGATCCGACAATGAGCCCATTGCTGCCTTCCCGGCTGCCATCGCCACCAACACGAAGCTTCTGCTTGGTATCTGGGCCTCGGGAACCAACAACATCGACGGTGAGCTCAAGGCATTGAGCGCTGCAGTCAAGCAGTACGGCACCAAGCTCACAGATCTCATTGTCGGTTGCTCGGTCGGTAGCGAGGATTTGTACCGCAACTCGGTAGACGGTGTCAAGGCCAAGGCTGGTGTTGGTAACAGCGCCGAGTTGATTGTAAAGTTCATCAAGGACACTCGCCAGGCTCTCGCAAACACACCTCTCAAGGACGTCAAGATCACCCGTAAGTATCCTTGTGCGAAAACTGCGTGAGCTCAGTGCTGACTGTATCCGATTAGACGTCGACACCTGGACTGCTTGGGTCAACTCTTCCAACAAGGCCGTCATTGACGAACTCGACTTCCTTTCCGTAAACGCATTCCCCTTTTACGAGGAGGAGCACGACAACACCATCGACAACGCAGGCAAGCTTCTGAGCAGCGCCATCAGCGCAGTCGAGGGCGTAGCAGGAGGCAAGGACGTCTGGCTCACCGAGACTGGCTGGGCATACAGCGGCCCTGATTTCGGCAAGGCCAAGTCGACCGTCGACAACGCTGCCAAGTACTGGACCGACGTCGGCTGCTCGCTCTTCGGCAAGAGGAACACCTTCTGGTACACTCTGCGCGACGCCAACCCAGCCAACAAGGTCAAGTTCGCCATCACTGACAACCTGAGCACCACTCCTCGCTTCAACCTCTCTTGCCCTGCCAAGAAAGACCTGCCTAACCCGGAGACCATCACCAACGGCAACATCACCAGCGCTAGGAACACTACCTCCAACGGCGGTAGCAACTCCACTGGCGGTAGCAGCAGCAGCGGCGGAAACGGCGGCAGCCCTGCCAACGGCGGTCCTACACCAACCGGAACCATGCCTCCCCAGTCCACCGGTGCGGGAGCCGTCAACTCGGTCTCCGTGTCCATGCTCCTTTCCGTCATCTTTGCCGCCGCCGCCTGGGCCTTGTAAGCGACCGAGACGATTCCGAAAGTTGATGTTCATTGTGACCATCTCTTTTATTTCCGGTCGAGGAAGAGAACGTTCGTGAAGGATGGGTGCCTGCTAGCTAGCTACACCCCGATCAACCTTGAGAGCGGCTGGCTCGCACGAATAATAATTTTGTAATATAAAATGGAAGAAGTTGATTGTGTGCGATGGCCACAATGTCGATCATGATATTTGCTTCCATGTCGTTTTTGTTTTTGGTGCAATGATGGTGTGAAGTGACGTTCGTGGAGTGGATGTGGAGAGGTGTTGAGGAAGATGGCTAAACTAGCGAAGACTGCGTCATTTACCCCCCACTTTATTCATCTATCGGTCTCTACTTAGTGGATAAATAAGGTTTGTATCTGGATTCGCATCTGATGCATGCTGACCTTTATCCCACTACCTATCAGTCCGTTCTATCTCCCATCTCGCCGCCTATCAACCTAATCCACCACCCATCAACCCATCACTCCCTATCCCTGTCCCCGTCCCTACTCCTCTCCCTACTCCCCTCCCCCTCCCCACTCCTACTAAGCACCCTCGAGCTATTCTTCGGAAACCTCCGCTCAGGCAAATTACACCTACACTCTAAATCAGCCTCGTCACTAGAGTAAAAGAGTGAAGGGCTGCCTGTTCTGTACCGTCGTTGTATACTGCCGCTTGTGGGTGTCATGTAGTGTGGGATGAGAGATGAGGAAGACGGACGGGCTGATGTGTTCGAGGCAGAGGTTGAAGAAGGCGGGAGGGATGTGGTGAAGGGGTGGGAGAAGTTGCGGGTGTGGGGGAGGGGGGGCATGGGTGGTAGTGGGGTTGATGGGGGTGATTGCTGAGGCGTGCGGGTGGATGGTGTGGGTGAAGAAGGTGTTGTTGATGGTGGTGGTGCGTCGTGTGTTTGCTGCGGTCTAGAGGATGTTCGCTGGGGTATTATGGACGTTAGCATGGATGTTGAACGTGCTTCTGGCGTGCTTGTAGATGCTTTTGTTAACGGACGCGCGGCTGTTTGTGGTCGGGGGCGGGGTGTTTTCAATCCACGAGATGTTCTTGCGGGCGTTTGTCTGTATCGTGCCGGTAACTTAGGAGGCGTGTCTGCGTTTGTAGATATGGGGAGTTGGCTTGGTGTTTTGGCGCCCCTGGAGTTCGATCTGTATCTCGCTGGGAGCTTTGTTGGGGTGTTTATGGTGGAGGAGACGGGAAGTCTGCTTGGAGATTCAGCATCCTTGCGGCTGAACATTCTGGCTATTAGAGAAGGCTGTGACGACTCACTTTCGCCGGGTTCCATTGTTCTTGTTATCTCTTCTTTCGTCTCCTTTTTTCCTCCATTTCCTCCTGCTTTCTCATGCTCATCTAGCAATTCTTGGAAGTGGATGGCTTGGAGGATCAGTACCCGGGGAGTGACGTTGATGTCGTTGGGAAAGCATTCGAACATGTATTCGGTAAAGGCAGCCCAGCTCTTTATGTGGTCAGGCAGTGGGTACCTCCTCGTCTTTACCTGGTAAGCTTCTCGGAGGCAGGGAGGAATCGGCTTTCCGCCCATGATGATGGATAGCATGGATCTTTGTTTTGCAATCAGTTCCTTTGCTTCGTGGATGCGCTTGCGTTTAGTGCCCACCAGGTTGGCATGGACACGGCTAAGGCTTGGTTCGAGAATGCATCTGAATGGGACGTCGAATAGATAGCTATCGATGTCGGCATACGGTATAGAGGGTGACGGGTCACCAAAAAACGTCCTAGCGTCAGTGTACGTAGACGAAGAAGACGTGGAGGTGTTCACTCCGCCTTCATCGTCGTGATTTCTGTTGGAACGCAAAGCATTGCATGTCTTCGGCACTAACGTGTACTCCGGATCATACCGATAGCTAAGACCACACACGTATTCACATCCTTGCTCCAAATTACCGAAAAGCCACTCCCAAGGCTCTACAATCTGTCTGTTCATAGAGTGGACGATCCTTTCTACGGCCTCTTTCGCTACCCTAGAGTCGAGATAGAAATTTGTCCTCGCAGACAAGGTCCCTGGTAATACTTTGGCAGTGTTGAGGTACTTGAGCGGGGCGGTACCCATTATATAGACGCATACTGGCGTCGGAAATGGTGTAAGAGGTGCGATATCCTCCCACCTTTTCTCCCAATCCGGTTTCGAAGGCAAGCGTTCGATACCGCGACCGAAGACTCGGAGTACGGTACAGATGGCGTATGGATGTGCGCTGATTACTCCTACGTAGTCTGTCTGTGAGGCGAGCTTGCCTATGTCGTAGTGTTCAGTCAAGACTCTTAGCATCTGTACAGTGTCAGTAATCTTCCACCGCTTGTTCCCCCATTCTATGCTTACCCTTGTAGCGCGTTTTTGGCTACGATAGCCATTCACTACCAGCAGTTGCGTGACCCACCAGATGCGGCGATCCATGTGTATCCACTGACTTACGAAGCAGTGGCCAATGTGCTTGCGACCCCTGGCCACTGCCGTGATCAGAACATTGTTTGCACCATCCGGTAGACACTTTGCTTTCAACGCAGCCATTCCACTCCATGCGCCATACTCGGACAAGAATTGTTTTGCGCATATTTCCAGCAGACTCTGCGTTATCTTGCTTTCTGGTGTTATGCGATAGACGACATCTTCTTCTATATCTGGATCCTTGAGCAGTTGGTTGGGTTCGCCGCGTATACGGTATTCGGCGGCTATTGTGCTAGAGGGAGTCTCGAACATGTCTCCTGTGAGTTCCGTGTGCGGGATCGGTGCTTGCTGGTGGTTATACATTGTAAATGAGATAAATTCTCGTCGATAAGCGCGCAGTGTACGGATGCGTGTTGCTGTTCAAGTGTTGGTGTGCACAGCCTGATTGAGTTCTAGACGTCATGTTCTCTCAGGTGAGAGGGTAGAACCATGGTAGAGGCTTGCTGATACCCAACCATAACAGAGTGAGTCATCTGTCCTCGCTTGCGTTAACAGTTATCGTACACCATTATCACCTCCACATCTATCTAAGTCATCCAATCGCGAGGGCTATGATAGTTGTGGAAAGCATCGTTGTTTTTGCAGGGCGCATGCCATATTTCCACAATTTCTTTTCTGTCGCTCAATAAGATAGCCAGTGAACTTGGTAAAGCGCTAAAAATATTGAAACGCACGTAATGTGGTCCGGATAATCCAGCGAACCGTTCTTGGTGTTGCGGGGCTCTCATAGGATTTCCGCGATGGGAAGTAGCCGCTGCCAGCCGGACAGTGCAAGAGCAGCAGCAGCCCGATCACTCACACGCTATCTTATACAGCTTCAATGACAGTATTCACTGCGAATCCGGAAATTATTTTGGTTTCTGCAGCTGTACTCGACTGCAATACGTCACAAAACACGTTCCAAAGACGTCATGCCGGCTCATCGTCTCGGAACGATACTTCTCGCTTCAGAGCCAACCCTGAATACCTTCGACCGACGTCCCAGAATTTTACCTCCCGTGCTCCTACTCGGCCGATGCTAAGGTTAGACGTGCAGTACATGTGCGAGACTGGAGCAACAGAATCGGGTTCAGAGCGAAGCGTTCAGCAGACGACCAAATCTACATTAGACCGGCAAAACACTGCGTCGGAAGGAAACTGGACGACAATATATCATGCGCATTCATCGTGTGGGCTATTGAGTTCACTTTGAAACCTATGGTATTGTAGTGTTTCTTTAAACGACCTGTGTCAAGAACTCTCATGTGCTTTTATAAGCTTTCGATACCACACGCCGGTAGGGTTCTATTCTTGGCAATCACGTATTCTCTCCATCTGCCTTACTACTACTGCAAAAGCTTATTAGACAACGCTATCTGTAGTTTTCATCCTATTACTTTGGTTGTAGGACACTTCTCTCGCGACTACAGATAGTCGAATCCCGGTGTTCACGACAACATTTTTCTCAACGTGCTTCCCTATGGTAAACAGCCACAGCGTCTGTGTCATGACTTTCAGTCAATAATGCAGTCATAATTCGCACCGTACAGTCATAGTGTATCATAAAAGAATGGGTTCAGCGTACGGTGGTCGCTCTTCTGCTGTAATAGACACTGCAAGGTTACTATGATGCCGCAGAAATCGCTCCAACAGATAGACGATTTCGACGACTTCCTTTTGGTAAGAACCATCCGAAAGATCAAACCTATAGTCGTGGAGCACCCGCGATGTTGAACAGAAGAGATGCTGGCTTCACTCGACAAGGTGGAGGAGAGCGTCAGTCGGGCCCTGGCGACACCAATCATCACATCTACACAGCCGTCCGAGGAACACCCTGTGAATCATAAAGATGAGCCAAAGGTAAGGCAAGAGAGAAACTGCTCGAGATTTTCGAGGCAGAGAAGAAGAAGGGAAGCAAAGTTGAGTGTGAGTAGAAGAAAGCAACCAAGCACAGAGGATGCGCTTATCTATTTTTAGCGCCATCTGGACAAAACGGAATCGATTCATCCCGTGAAGGTAGAAAATATCTACAGAGTGCGTTTGACGCTCTTGAAAGAAATTTAGATGACATTGAAGTGATCTTCAGGAGTGTTACTCTGCAGCTAGAGAACGCGAACCAGGCTACCTCTATCCAAAAAGCCGTCTCTTATAGAGAGAGGGAGATATATACGGCGACCAAAGAGATGGAGAGTCCAAAATGTATATTAGGAATAAATGAAATTCTTCGGCTATCTACCTAAGCTTGCGTTGGAACAGGATACAATCGGTAGAAAGAGGGGGCCGCATGGAGGAGGATGACAGGATACGAGTGTACACTTTCTGATCTTAAGGATATCTTCCAGATCATGTGAAAAATTGATGGAGATCAACAAGGTCCATAACAGATGTGATTCGACTATTGGTGAGGGAGAAAGGATGGGTATCGAAGATAATTGCACACACGGATCCCAAGACATACCTAATGGGTCTTCGTTAGATAGTCAGCTACCTCTTTTTCTATTATCTATCCATCTTTCTTCGTACCTAATCTATTAGAGGATCGTGAATGCCACAAGTAAGGCATACAACGCTCAATAGGTATTTTGGGGAAGTCGAGGCTCGTAGAATGTATTGCGGTGACAGAGATACCCCGCATGCTTGGCGGCCATCTCATTATTCGCAAGGCTAGACCATGCACCATCTTTTCTCAACGCGCATTGACGTTCTCCCAAACTAAGATATCTGAAATAACAAACTACCTGATCAGATGGCTTTCAACGATTCTTTAGGCCAACATGTCTATCAGGCGCTGCCCTTAGACTCCATCCGTGTCCTCATCTTGGAGCCTTGTATGCATCGCGACATACCTCTACGCTTTCGCTTTCACGTGGACAGCATCGAAGAATTACGGGGAAAATATGAGGCCTTGTCTTATACTTGGGGAGAGCCAAACCTGGATCTGCCCATGTATCACGCAGATGGTTCTCAGGTGCTCATTACCAAAAACCTCGATTCAGTCTTGCGGCGTCTACGACATCAGCTGGATCCGAGATGGATATAGGCAGATGCGGTTTGTATAGTGCAAACGAACCTGGAAGAGAAGGGATTACAGATCAGAATGATGGATAAAATCTACCGAAGCGCAAAGCGTGTGCTTGCCTGGCTGGGACCTGGGGGTGGCAATGACGAGGCCGGCTTGCAGATTCTAGAGAGACTATCGCAACTCCCAAAACCTCGTCACATAGATGACCCCATGGGCCTCGAAGCATCAGAATGCCTCCTCATCAAGAGATTTCTCGACCTCCCATTGTTTCGGCGATTTTGGACCGTTCAGGAGTGCGTCCTCAATACCGATGTCACTCTAACTTGTGGCGAATCTGAAATTACGTTTCCAAGACTCCTTGCGGGCTTGAAAATGTTTGATATACATTTCAGATTCTTCGTTGTGCCACAAGGATTCCCAGGGCTTTGCGCAATCAGAAAAACAGCGGACTTATGGAACAAGTATTCGTTTGCTGAAAGCATTCAAGGAGGTGGGCAAATGGCCAGACGGTGGGCGATTCGCGAAAGCGAAACTGCAAAGGATGAGACATCCACGGTAGAACCATTTGACATACTCGCTTTGGTACACGAGTTCACAGAAAATAACTGTAGTGATGACCGAGACCGCATATTCACGCTGTATGCCCTGGCCTCCAACATCAAACCTAAATCGGAGAATTCCTATATGGAAGACGACATGGTGTACATGGATGTCGATTATACGCTGGATGTATACGATACTTACAAAGCTTTTCCTGTTGCCTGTCTTGAGAACAAAGTGACCCTGTCGCCTTGCAGTGTCGAGAACAGAATGGCTCTGAAGTTATTCAAGGCTGCACTAACGCGCTTACCCAACACCGGAACAAGGGAATGGCCATTCTGGGTGCCTGATTGGCGTATGGAGCCGCATAATAGCGTATGCTTTGTGGTGCAGGCTTTCGTGGATGTCATGATCTGTGTGTACGCAATATCAGGGGATTGCTTTGAGATCAGACCAAAACCATATAATAAGGATTTTCTTGGAATGGATTGCACAAGCATTGAAGATGTAAATGGTTCTGGAGATCATCTTCCCTCCATCGTGAAGGTGGGCGTCGTTGACCCTGGTTATCCAATAAGCCAACTCCTGAAATCAGCTGAAGCAATCTGGGAGCCGAGGACTACGTCAGAAGATGACCAAATCAGAGATGACGATGAGTTCTTGTCATTCTTTCTTGCCGCTATGGCACAATTGCATAGCCGTCTTCCTGGCACGGGAGTATACACAAAACGCGAATTCCAATTTGCCCTTGACTACTTATATGAGGGAAATGTGTTTAGTAACAAAATAGAAAACGAGGAATTCATGGATGGAGAGAAGTGGAAAGGGATGTTTCCGTTCCGTGTCAGTCAATCAGTTCTTGGAGACGATGGTTCGAATGAATTGCAAGGCTTTGGCTATGGCTCAGGACAGGTACAGGAGGGTGACCGGTTGATCGTATTGAGATACAGAGTGTTCATTTCGCCTGGATTTGTATTTTGCACTCGAATCCATGATGTACTCATTCTGCAGAAAGTTGGGAATATTAATGGCTCCGATACTCGTCCATCATATCGCCTCGTTGGCCATGGGTTCTTCTGTGGGCCAGAAGATGTGGATTTTCCGACTGGACTGAGGTTTTTGTTGGTATAGCAATATGAATACTAATAATTCTCGTCTCTAAGGGCCTTATCTGGTTGTTTATTTAGTATACACCCCCCGTTTAGATCGCTGAGAAGTGAAACGGAGAATTGCGAACATGCCGATGATCTCAGCTACAGACCACCATATATTAGCATTAATAATGGCTACCACTGATAAGGACAAGTTGCCTTCGATCAAGGGTTCACATTTGCGATACCGAATGCCGTCGGAGCCAATAGCGCGTTTTGAAATTTGAAGAATTAATGTAATTGTAATGGGTACGTTGAGAGTCATACTCATCGTTATGTCAGATACGATGACCCGAACCGATCATAGTATTCCTGTGGATGCATGTTTGAATAATTTACCGTCGAACCACACCTACTGAGGATGTGACGAGTGTGTTATATTGCAGCTATTATCTTGTAACATTCACACGGTGCATAGCTCCGCCAGGCATACTGGCCCTTAAGCCTTCCAACACGCCTCGAATTGCCTGAATTGATCTATGGATGGGTGGGAAGGAAGCGGAATTTACAGCGCTGTACATGCGGTGAGGACTTAGCTTTGCTCCCACCCCGGCCCCATTCAAAAACGGTGATCCAACGACAGGGATCTGGACAACCGGCGCTCTGGATTCAGAGGCCAAAACGCCACATCAATATATGAAGTCCAAGCTTTTGCGCCTCGCAGCATGATGTGGGTAAATTATCAGTGGCTGAGTGGCACAACTCCGGAAGATGAGGGAAAGACATACGGATACGCTTTACGAGAGTGTTGATCTAGACTATATACCAAGCTTGTGGCGCTTGACAACGTGCGCCCTAACCTACCTCTAGCACGCTAAGTGCATTGATTCAGTCGATGAGAACTTGACTTAGCCGCTCGTCAACTGTAAGCAAGAGTTTTGCATCAGCGGTCACCGTAACGAGGCGATGCTTGACCAGAAGTGACATTCACTGACACTAGTTGACCATTTTCCTCATACGGCTTAGCTTGTGGTAAGTAATGCGGAGAATTAATGTACAGTCTCGTTTCAGAACACGAGACGTGGGGGTGTGCGCCCACTTCTCCGCTCCACACTTCCCATCCATAGCTACTAAAAAAGTCGTACGTGCCGCTAGAGACGTGGTGGCCTCGGAGCGTCTAGTGAAGAGACACAACACATCTCAATTGTTGGTTGTACGAGAGCTGGAGCGAATGTCGGCCCAACGTGGCTGAAAGAACCCAATACACTTGTGCATGCTAAGATTTCATCGCGCCGCCCTCTCCGCGAAGAAGTAACACGTCTTAACGCCTCGTTGCGTCTAGATGGCTCTAACTCTCCACGAGAGCCTCTAGCCTAACTGCAATCTCAACACCATCACCTAAGATTCTTTTTACTAACCACCGTACTCGTACAACCACCACAGGTAACCCACGCATAGCCCACAAGCCCACCTGTCACAACCACGCACTCAGCACGCCGACGTGGTACAACTCTCCACCGCCTCGCTTCCCCCTCTCCGACCCAAAACCCAGCCCGCTGTCGAAACACAAAAGTCCCTGTTCCGACAAAGTGGTTCTGTATACTGCCCTAGAGTACTTGCAACTGAAGGCCAACTCACAAAAGACACATGATGCAGTGCCATGTTCGCCTACAGTAACGCCAACGCAGGCGTGCGCCTCTACTACCAAAATATGAGAATAGTCGTCTGATGCATCGCACACGATGGCGCGTTTGCAGCGCGCAAAGTGGGGTTCAATGTCGCACACGTTGTATGCATATGTCATGCCTGTACAACGGTAGTGGTAACAGCGGGTGTCAAATGCGTTGGCTGGGTCTTTTGAGGCTGCGATGTCGGATTTGATGGGGTCAAGTGATACGTTGGGCTGAGTTTCGGGACACTGATGAGTGGGGGGAGCTGAGACAATGTCAGCGGGAGGCTTGACACTTGCGATAGGGCCACTGTGAAAAAATGCTACGTGATTGTAGGTAGTGGTTGGGGAGGGAAAAGGGTCGTTATGAATTATGCTATCAAAGCTGCCAGCGATGGGCTGCATATTCCATACTCGAACTCAAGTAGCCTCTGCTGCCGATGACGGCGAATCATCGTCGACCTCCATCGCTCTCAGCTTAGCCTCTACAGCCGCAACAACCTCAGCATCAAACTGCTCGCCTTTCTCCGGTTTTTTGATACTGTGCTTGGTCAGTCATGTATAGCATGTGAATACTTGGAAGAATACTTACGGTGATCTCGTACACCTGTCGCACCGCTCGTGACCACAACCAGGACACTGGGGCGAGTTGTTCAAGAAGAGACTACTGCACTGTTCACACTGCCATCGCACCCTCATTCTTGGCTTTCGCCAAGTTCGTCTAAACTTCTCCAGCTGCTTCTCAACCTCCGTCTCGCTGTCGGGCTCGGCATCTCCAGGATAACCGGCGGGCCACTTGTTCAGCTTGGCTGGCTCACGTGCACACTTGGTACATCGCACATGCTGACAATTCTCGCATATGGTTGCCGTGGCGGGAACAAAGACCGTCTCGCACATGTGGCATGTGCGTCGGATGCGTTGCCTTGTTGGCTGGTACACGAGTTCGTCACCGCCGCGGGTACGGATGGTAAGCATTCTCTTCCTCTTGGGCTGACCAGTGCCCTCCTTCTCCTTTTCTGCCTGCTTCTCTTCAGGTGTCTTTTTCTTCGGATAGCGGGGGCACTTCTTGCAGCGCTTGTGCTCGCATTGTCGGCACACCTTGTCTGAGCCGTAGAGGGTTCCGCAACGGTGGCAGCTGCGGTGGACACGCATACGGATAGACTTCTCGACACGTTCAACGGCGGGTTTAGCTGCTGGCGCTGCGATCCATTCGTGAGACTCCAGGGTGAGGCCATACTTGGCGAAAAGTGCACGAGCTCTTTCTTGCTGCATAGCATTGCGATCCGTGTCCCTGGTTGTAGGAGTGGGTGGGGCCGATACACCAGGAGTAATGGGACTGCTTTAGTTAGAATGATGTCGAGTGAAAATGGGCGTATATCACTCACGTGACAGGTATAACTTGAGGTTTCGTGTTGTCCTGCTTTGCGACTTCCTCGGTAGGCTTTGAGGGTCGCTGCTCGGCCTTGGATGTGGAAGGTGCCTCTTGCGCTAGCACAGGCACATTTTTGTTTGACTTCTCTCTCTTGAAAACCGTGCTCATTCTCTTCACATATTTGCCCAAAGTGCCGCGTTCTGCATTCTTGCCCTTATCCGGGGGTCCGCCATCGCCTGGAGTCGTCATGGTTGGTGTCGCGAAAGTCGTCCTCACGACTTTTGATGCAACAAAGAGGCACTGCTAAATTATGAATAGGATGGGACAGAGCCAAGAGTATATAAACCAGTTATAGGGTCGCGCCGTTGACTGTCAGACGTGCATGCAGCTCAACTAAAAGTTCCTGGGGTCTGGACGCTGGGACAGCTCGGGACACCGAAGGCGTGGTACAACACGGCGTTCGCAGCTGCAATTAACACAACACTCAAGGATCGCCCTGGAGAATGCAAGGGGCAATTGGTGAGATAACGTGTTTAAAGAAGCCGCCCGGCGAGACCTGTCGATGGCGATGTGACGAAAGGTGGCGGCCGGGAAAGTTATGTAGGGTAGGTATGTGTAGAGGGCTTCGTATTAGACCAGGACCCGGCCTCCCACTGTGCTGGAATCGGCCCCGAACTACTCGCTGAGGGGGACAGTGCGGCCCGTTCGTCACAGGCTGGGCTGCAGCTGGAATCAGGGCTTTGCCTGCTGGAGTCCAGACACTCTACGGCTGATTACGGCAAAGGACTTTTCATCGCTCGACGCTGGCGAAACCAAACCAATCTGTCCAGGACCACAAACACCAGCGAATAGCTCAGAGCTCCGGTTGTGCGCAAGGAACGTACCACACCACGGCTGCACGGCTACATGCACGCTTCTCTTCTGCAACCGAGCCCTTTGTTGCTGCTTGGTGCCTAGGGCTCGATGTCTGCGGGACTACGGCGGCGCTGCGTCCATTTTAGGTATCAATCGGCCTGCTTTACCAGCGGGCGCCAACGCCGAATAAGGTCTTTCACCGGTTCCGCGGAGCACCCAGCCCGTATCCTGGGGCCCTCCATCTTCGAAATGTTGCCAGAGTCTAACACAGTCTAATAGGCTCTGAAACAAATCATCACGTCGACATCGGAGCATGATGCTGTCTGCCTCAGCAGACCCTTATGATTGACTTATCAGGTGTCAGGGGCCGAAATCACCCCACACCGTGTGGCGTCACACTGTGCATTCCGCTCCAACATGCTTTATCCAGCAAATGAGCGGCACCATGAATCTGGAGCCTGTCTACAATTCCGCCCTTTATATTGCCTTCATCTACAGTACTGCGACTCAGCAAATCCATGCATAACCACATCGCCTCGTCGGTTACGTTGCATATGCGCGTTGCCAAGAAATAATGTGCAGCAGCACCTCTTATGAGTCGGGTTAGTACGTTACAACCAGCATTGCGCTGGATAGTCTGCGTGCTGCGTTGGCACACGTCTACCCGTTCTGATATGATGAAGGAATGAGTTGATAGCCAGCGTTTGCTGCAATAGGCATCGTGCGGCCGACAGTACCGCCACCGGGAAGTTCAGGCATGTATGCAGTTGTCCCTATGCATTGGTCCGGGGCTTATGGCGACATTGCGAGTCTGACAACAACAGCATCTCAGTGTGCAGTGCCGATCAACGCTCCCACCCCTTCACCCAACCCAAATAGATGGGCGGGGCGGCTTAGGTAATCCCTGGTCATGTTCCGATGACCTGGACCAGTGGGGCAGCCCCTCCTCGCTTACTCCGCTTAGGGATTCGGCATCATCAGCGTACTGTAAGTACATACTTCCACGTCGACCAAGCATGTCAATCTGGCCTTTCTAATAGGCCTTTCTCTTCATTTTCGGCCTCATGTGAACTTCCGTACGTCAGCTTACTAGTACCATCTGTGAGATTGTCTCAACAAACTCCACCGGCATGCGTCGGATGTATGCCGCACAACCTTCTATCGGCAAGTCCCGTCGGCCGAATGCAGCTTGGGATGCGGCAACACCGGCTGGCTGCCCCTTGGGCTCTGCGGCTACCTATCGATCACAATACCCCAGCATTTCTGTATATCGGCCCTTTCGCGACAGTTACCAAGCAGGCGGCTGTAACATTGCGATGCGACACTGTTGACCCTGTTGCCAGTCAACACTACGTCATTCTGCAGCAAAAAGCTCGAGAAGTTATGTACTGTATCAAACTTTGCCATGTACACCGGATCGAGCCTTCCTGCCAAGGTGATCAACTATACATGCCTGCTACTAAGGCAGCCGGCTGCATCAATCCATGATGCTCGCTTGCGGATGTCGTGCGTGCGTGCGTGCGGCAATTTCCAGATATGTCCTGTGGTGCAGACGCATCATGAAGAGCGATGCGACGTATCTAACCCGCTAGATGGAAGAAACAGTGGTATCGTAGCTATCTAGAGCGACTACCCAGTGCAGAGTGGAATACTTACTGCAAACTATACGCGCTAAGGCGTACCGAGGTCCGCGATGCCGTACCCAACGCCGAAAACGACCTCGTTAGGCGGGAGGAGGGAGCATCAAACAACAGGACCCTGCCTCCGATCAAACACGGACCCCCCATCACAACAGATGCAGTAATCGCTCCGCCTTTCACCACCTCGTCTCAACTTTATTTCACGCCCCCGCCCCCTCGGAACCCAAGATATGTATTGTGACTTGCCTCTCCAACATGCAGGTACACACGTGTGTTTTGCGGATCGAATACCCAGTGAGCATTCCCTGGCTCGCCAATCCAATAAAACGCATGGACGGATGCATTGCGCGTTCTCGCGCGCGTCGCGGAGCCCAAGAGAATGAAAGAAAACGACGCTTGTCTCGGGGTTTCATCAGAGGCCTAGAACGTGAGGCCCATGGGGTTCTTTTGCCAACCCGGTCTTTTCGTATCCGCGTCCGCACGCGCCGGACAACGGTGAAGTCCCGATTCCGCGTGTAGGTAGAAAGCCTCATATTACCGTATTATTTGTTCTCCGCACTTTTCAGGGTTCGAACTTGATATTTTGGGAAGGAAGTTTGCAGGAAACTTTATTGCGTATTTTGAACTGGTGATTGCTCCGTGTGTTATTGCGTGGGATAGAGTCAGTTTGTTTGAAGTGAATTGGATGATGTGTGCATGTGCGGGTGCCATTGTCGTGAAGGGATGCCAATAGTCATGGCATGGCATTGGCAGGTCATTAGCAACACGTGGATAGTTGGTAGTCTCGTCCACGACCTTGCCTCTGCATCACGAGTAAGATTCTCTCCATTGTTGTTTTGAGCAGTATTCGTCATGTTCTTGGCATGCATACGTATGTTTCTGTCGTGGCAAAAAGTGGTCAAGCATGTGTGTCCGCCATGTTACTCCATCTCAACACGCAGGCCCCAGCATAGTCTTTTGATGTTCGCCGTATGTTCGAAAGTCATATTTTCAATACCCCACATTTACGCTTTTGGGGCAATACTAAAGATGAGTGTGGAGAAAGACACTAATATGATTTAACGGAATACATCCGCATCACTAAATTTCAACTACGTTTAATCTTTCACCGCATCGTCTTCCATATTTCTTACTACCGCAGCGTCTCTCCCTCTCTCCAAACATCACGATATTTTCGACTATGGTTTTTTTATACCGTACACTCGCTATCCGAGAGATTTTAATTGTGTGCCACAGCTCAGTTCAAACGCCCACATGTGCACATCCCGTCATAATTTCATAAGGCCGGAAAAAAACATTGGCCCTTTTGTACGTGGTTTTAGTATTTTCAGATAAGCAGGATGTTAGAGTGGAAAAGAAGAAGAATAGGTGAGGGAGGGATTTAGACACCGTGCCTCAGCTGAGAGCTCAGCTCAACCACCGACGACATCTTGCATATGGCGTCCTGTTTTTAGAAAAATCGGAAAGACATGAAACAGAATTTTCGGTGTTTTAAAGTTTTCAAGTAAGCAGGATTGTGGAAAGTAGAAGAGAAGAACAAGCGAGAGAGAGATTTAAGTCATGTGCCACAGCTCAGCCGCCAACATATTGCACATCTTGTTCTATTTTTAAAAAAGACGAGAAAGACATGTGCAACAGTAACAGCCATTTTTTAGAATTTTGAGTAATCAAGGTAGTAGAGAGGAGAAGTGTCAGATTGTGATGGGTTATCAAAGACGGGGATAATCGTATAATAATATGATGGGGATCGATTGTATTGTTCTGGTCTGATGTCTTGTCGTGTTCTTGTCCAACGCTGTTCGATTAGTTCGGTCGCGGTGGATTGTGCGCGCTGACTAATTTAACTGATCCACAGAATCCACCGCTCCGAACACCCGGATTTTGTCCACCACCCAAAATATGCCCATATTCTGACAAGAAGAGAAGAATAAGCGAGGGAGAGATATAAATAATATATTACAGCTTAGTTATACTTAGATATACTATATAACTAGTTATAGTAACGTGGTTGGCAAGCGAGTCGGTCAGACAAGCGAGTCGGTCACCCCACCAACTTTAATCACCTACTCTATCTCAACACATAATGCCTCCACGCCGCGCTCCTCTTGTGCCTTCAAATAAAGCAGATATTCAGCTTGCTCTCTTATCTATAGATTCTGCCCAAATTCAGAGTACGCGACGCGCTGCTACAGTCTTCGATATCCCAAAATCAACCCTAATTGACCGGCGCGCTGGAAAGCGCGCGCGACGCGATTGCCAGCCTAACTCAAGGAAGCTTACCCAGAGAGAAGAGGAGGTGATTGTTAGCTATATACTTCATCTAGATCAGCGCGGGTTTGCGCCTACCTACGCAGCTGCACGCGATATGGCTGATAAGCTGCTGGCTGCGCGCGGCGCTGGCCAGGTTGGGCAGAAGTGGCCAGCCAACTTTGTCAAGCGGACAGATAGTCTTCGGACGTGTTTCAACCGAGCGTACGATAGGCAGAGAGCTCTCTGTAAGAATCCAGCCCTTATTAGAAGCTGGTTTGAGCTTATAGAGAAGACAAAGGCTGAGCTTGGTATCTGCGATGAGGATATATACAACTTTGATGAAGCTGGCTTTATAATGGGCAAGATTACAACGCAGCTGGTTATAACAGGAGCAGAGAGGAGAGGCAGGCCGAAGACTCTTCAGCTAGGCAATCGCGAGTGGGTAACGCTGATCGCTGCTATCAGCGCTGCTGGCTGGTCAGTCCCACCGTTCCTTATCTTCGC